TCATTGATCGACGGGCTTGATCATGGGTATTTGAGCGCAAAATTTTTTTGGGCCCTTATTTGTAATAATTTTCAAAATCGGGCCTCCATTTGTAATTATTTTCATTTTGGGCCCTTATTTGTAATTACTTCCAGTTTTGGGCCCTTATTTGTAATTTCCCCTTTTTTTTATATGTACAGTATTTAAGCCTGCTGGCTGACGAAACTACCATAAATTTTCACATAAATCAGATAAATAGAGCTTATGATATAGTATTAGACACGAATCTGTCTTATTTTGCGGTTAATAAACGAATTTATGAGCATTAAATTCGTCTTATCTATTATTAACATAATAACGAAAAACAATACAGTAGATGGTGAAAGAATTTATTACGTATTAAGCTTTAATGTTTTAAAGAGAGATACTGGGTTAACTAAAATTGATTAAAGATATTTTTGTTTGAATCTATTTATTTATAAATATTTACTTGTCAAGGTCGCAAGACTTCTTCATTGCGGAGTTCTTGATGCAAAGTACCGTTATGAATCATTCTACTAGTATTATTTTTTTTATATACTGATCATGCCGAAATCAAAAATTTATTGAATGACTATCATTTAAAATTTTTATCTATTGTCCCAATATTTATGAGAACAGCTGTAACGAATTCAATTTTACATAACGGATAAGCTGTATATTCTATTTTCTAAACTTTACAACGTATGTGCAGCAGTAATGACGGCATTAACTTCATATCAACGACAATTACGACAATTACTCAAAACTCTTTAACTATGTTCTGGGCCGCGATTTTTAATTTTGTTTATAAATGCTTCAAGTTCATCTTTATTGATACTGATACAATGCTGCAAATAAATAAAATGCTACTGCAAAAATTGCTAATTAATAGATTTATTTTAATACTAATACAATGATGTAATTTAAGTTCCCAAAAGCCATTATTCTGAAAGTACTGTACATAATTAGTCAGTACTGCTTTCGGAAGTTACTAAATAATTAGTAAATTTACATACACTTAAAAAAAAAAAAATTAAACCTTATTTTGTTTTCGGATTTTCGTATAGCAGTATGACTTAATGTAGGTATGTTTACGTTTTCAATTAAAATTTTACACGATGCAGTAAATTTTTACTTCGATAAAGTTAGCGAAAATTTATTTAATCGTTCGCACGAAATTAACTCTTAGAAGAGCAATAAACAGCAAAAAAATTATTTAAAAAAAATTTTTAATCAATATGTAATCATTGCGAAAATAATATTTGAGAACTTTAATTGCGATGATGTAATTGGTTTCATCCAATTGAAAACGATTTTTGCAAAATCGAGTCAGTGGATACTGTTTACTAAACTTAAATTTGTGTAACTAAACTTTGTGTAGCTTGTACTCAATTCAAGTGACCTAAAAGCGGTTCGGACCTAAATAAGCCTTTGTTCCGCTCATTATATAATCTTTGTCTTTGAATATACGTACGGAGCTCGCATTTTCGTATGCACTCTCGTCTGCTCTGCTTATAGAAAAATAACGAATTTTAAAATAGTTACGAAGTAAAGAAATAAACGGTTCCCTTAAATTTATATCAATGGAACAAAATAATAATAGAAAAGGTAATATAATATTTTAAGGACAATAAAAGTTGTAACGTAGTAAAATTCGGGGTAACGTAAAGGAATCCGCTTTGAACAGTACTCATTAGTTATTAATACAAACTTTAAATTTTATTTTTCATAAAGGTCAAAGAAACGACAAACCGGAGAATGAGAACGGTGTGAATGTGCAATTTTCAGGAGAAGCTCTCGACGTAGCAACAAAATTTCAAAGATTACAAAATTCTGTCGTTTCATTAAAAAAGAAAAATGAAGCTTTCGAGAAAGAAAAAGGGGAATTAATTAATAAATTTCATGAGTTAACTGTAAAAAATGATCAATTACAAACATCTTGTAATGAATTAACCTCACGTTACGATTCCGAAAAAAGAAGATGGCAACAAAGGGCTAATGATTCAGATCTTGAAATTCAGGCGTTAAAAAAACAACTTAATGAATTGAAAGAAGAAGCGTCTAGATATCAATCTGCATTAGGTGAAGCAACAAATGTTCGATTTGGTGATAATGATAGTAATAATCAAGTACAACTTTCAAAAGCGATTATTGAAATGCAAAATTTATTGGTGGAATTCACTACCGTTAAAGGAAAAGATATTACTATTAATGAAAAAGCTGCTTTCGAACTATTGAATGCTTATAACTGTAAAACAAGGGGAAAACCGGTTATAAGTGCCATTTTACAACGACAAACTTTTGAAGTATTGGTTCATTATACAAATAAATATCTTACACGACCACAGAGACCAAAAACTATGCAACCACAACCAACACATCCACAACCAAATCAAAATCAATATCAACAACAATATCAACAACAATATCAACAAGCTCAACAAGCTCAACAAGCTCAACAAGCTCAACAAGTTCAATATAACCCAAGAAGTTCAATGAATCAACCTCCTATTGATGACGCCAATCTCGAATCTGAAATAACTACTCATATGATAACATTATGTAACTTAATTAGTCGACTTGCTGAAACTAGAAATGGAACTGATGAAATCACTCGTGTGGCTCCTGTAAAAGTCCGTCAACAAGTTTATACCGTATTAGGTTCACGAGGATTTTGTAAAGATAATCATCCAATCATTGAAAAATTAGCAAATTATATTTTAGAAAGTACTGGAAAATGTCGGAAAATTAGTGAAGAAAAACAATTAGAATTCCAAAATAAAGCTTTAGAAGTTGTTAAGAAATTTGTACATTTGTATTTTAGGTTAAATGCTCAAGAACCTATTCCGAGTTATTCGTATTATTTTGAAGCTGGTACTCCTTTAGCAAATAGTGTCATGGATGGGCCGTGGGATGATGATAACTTGGATAATTTAGAAGTTGAAATCTGTTCGTTTCCTTTAATTTATATTAAAGGTAAAGATAATAGTAAGAAAATACTTTCCAAGGCATTAGTTCTTCCGAGAGAAAAAGAATAAAGTTAGTTTTGGTGTTTTATTTATTTCTTATATTTTTTGGTAAATGCTATGTGTTATTATGTAATTTTAGGTTGGTCTTGATAATAATAAATAAAATGTATTAATTTTATAATTTATCTTTGATGTATCAGTATCATTTTTCTTGAAATCATAATACTGATCAAAGAAAATAATGGTGTTGCATAAAATCTATACATATTTATTTTTGTTATAAGACGTACAAGATTTCAGGGATGATCAAAGAAACGATATAACTATATATTAAATCTCAAATTTATTTTTATGATTTCGATAAAAAAAATGTTTACGAAGGTGATTTCAATCCTACTTCAAACATGTCTATTTCACTTAATGACTATCCCCCCAAGTTTAATCAATTCAACGCCTTCACAAACTTATAAAGTTGAAGGAATTACTGGATTAATATTAATCCATTCTGGTCAATATTTAGCTCGATTAATAAACTTTTGTCTATCTATATTTTATATTTATATAATGTACCAACAAGAAATCGATGATTTACCATATTTACAAAATAAATTATCCGAATGGGACTTTGGAGATATAATTACTCTTCTAGCAACGTTCTTTGGTACAATTTTAAGACTTTGGTGTTATAAAGTTTTAGATATGTTTTTCACTTTTAATGTTGAAATAAAGAAAAATCATAAATTGATTACGACCGGTCCTTATCGATTCTTGATTCATCCTTCGGTAAAAAAAATATATATATTTTTTATTACTATATACTATGTATAACGTATAATTGACTTTAAATAAACAATTTCCCATTATCGTCTTTAGTGTAATTTATCATCAACGCCATTAACAGTTTTTTTTTCTTTTTTTTTTTAAAAAACAAAAACAGTATACAGGACTTTTATTAACGTTACCATCAAAAATACATATGATTAATCAACTTCAACCATACGTTCAATTATATTTTCCATATTTTGTTAGCTATTGCTTATATAATATATGGATACGTGTTAGTATTTATACTTTTACTTTTTTGTTATTATGGAATAGGGTTAGAACTGAAGAACGGTTATTAAGAAATTATTTTAAAAAAGAGTGGGACGATCACGTTGTTAAAAGAAAAAGATTCATTCCATGGGTTTTTTAAAAATATATAAACTATATATGTACGCGTGTTATATATTTTTTTTTGAATATTATGATTAAAAAATACGGTTGACTTATTTTTTTTAAGTGTAAACACACACCTCTATTTTTCTTTACGTAATATCACGCTCCAAAGTTACGCGTCAACTATTCGAATATTATTGAATTTTTTACTTAAAAAAAAGTAACGACCCGATCTTTATAATATATCCTTGTGACTACGTCATAAAAAAAGAATAATACTTCAAAACTCATCAGAAAGACGTCCAGAAAGTAACGTGTAAATAATAAATTTATATTATTTTTACTTTTAAAATTACGCGTTCATAAATATCAATAAGACTACATATTATTAGAAAATTATGTTACTAAATGACCTTTTCTATTTTTAAACCTTATTATCCTCTTTTTTCGTCCCATCACTACCATCCTTCTTTCTCCAATTCCTACTACCTAAAACTTTTTTAAAGTCATTAAATTTCGTTGCACTTCTATCTACAAAACTTGATGAAGTCGTTAATGGTACATTATTAAGTAATGTTGGAAATGATGTTGGTGTCATAAACTGTGATAATGGTACCGATGTAATTGATGTTATTGATGATGTAAGTGATGACATGATGCTCGAGCTTGCTGGTAATTCCGGATGTTCAAGTATTTTTTGTTGAAATATTTCCGTTAATGGTTGTTGTTCATTTTTCTTTAAACCCTGTATATTATTTATGTTAACAAATTACAGTTGGTGTAATAAAAATCACTCATTCGTGAAAAAAATCAAATTACCTTGATTTCCAATATTTTTTGAAAGTTACTTATATTTTTATCTGCTATTAATAAAATGTAATTTTCAACTAATCCTTCAGGTGGATCATGCGGTGTAAGAACCGTCTTCAAAATTGTTTCCACCTTACTAATTCCTTTATTCACTATTTTGATAAACCTATTATAAATAACAAAATAATTAGCTTTCTGATCTATATACTAATGCTATTACAATAAGGCATCAATAATCTTACGTCGGTGGCGGTGGTGCTGGATTTTCCATGCCCATTGTTGGCATTTCTAATAACGATGTTTTCAATGCGTGAACATCGAGTAGCATCTGTAATATAATACCGACAATGTATGAATTAGAAATGGATAAATCGCGGTTTCCTCAAAAATCCCACGCGTCACGCGGGTTTCTTATTTTTTGTGTCTGATGAAAAACCATGCAAAAATTATTACTGTTTCGTAAAATTTTGAAATAACGCTATTTCGAGAATTTACGGTAAATATATTAATGCAGGCTAGATATTATATTAATGCCAGCCAGATGATACGGTAATGCCGGCCAGATAATTTTATCTTGGATCACATTAAAAATCCCGCGCGCGCCCATCTCTATAATTTCAATATCATTAGATGTACCTGCTCTGCTCCTACTTCTGATATTGGTTTGCACTTTGTTAAAGCATTCATAAACTTAATAACGAAAGACCTATAAAACGAATATACAAATTAATTATAAAAATTACCAAACTATCAAGTTATCAAATTACCAAAATTTCTTAATATTTTTAATCAATACTTACTCTACAAATTTGTCACAGAACGTTCTAAAGTACCGATTATTGGTGATATCTTTATGAACACCAACAACACAGCTTAATATTGTTCTATTGAATAGGGTGACGTATTCAGATTGATCTCCAACCGAATCTAGATTGCTCCATGGTAATTTGGTCATAGCTACAAGTGCAGGATCATAAGACGACTCTATCCCGCGAATTAACGATCTAATAGATGTAGCTACGACACTACAATCAGAGTCATCATATTAATTTTGCGTTTATTAAAATACAAGAGCAAAAAACAAAACGGGCTCTTACTTTAGGAAATGATTACGTTCTTCATCAAAGTTTATTTTTTCTTTATATTCTTCGTCAATAGTATCTTTTAATTTATCTTCAAGCTATATTCACGTCAAAAATGAAATAAAATCAAAAAAAAACGATATTATATAATTATACACTAAATATATTTATACCTGTGAAGTTGTAACATAACAATAATCTGCCGTATTAATTATAAAGCATGTCAATTTTAATTCATCGCGGGTTATCGGTCGGCGTTCTTCCCTATAAATAAGTTAAATGTTAAACATGAAAACTCAAATAATTTAAAAAAAATTATATACTATAGTATCACTTATAACATTAATGCTTTACGTACTTTGGAAGCCTTCCTATCAAAACTTCACTCGCATAAACGCGAAGCCATTTGGCAAACATATTACATAAATCATAAAAAGGCTGTCGCGTTGATAATTTTGCGCAATTAGCAAGTGTTTCACGATAAAAGTAGAATAAATCTATGCTAGATTGTAACACTGAAGATGAAGCGTCTTCATCCGGAACTGTTTCCGTGTGATAGGAATTAACCATTCCCGATAATGTACTAGATTATAAAGGTCATTATAATCGAATTTAATAAAAAATAATCATGCCAATAAAAAAGAATAGAAAAAGTGTAAAGCGTACCCATCCTCCGCTTCAATATAGAGCCCTAGGTAAGGTTCAAATGCTGTAGATATAGTTTTACTAAAATTATGTGGCGTATGATCCGTACTGGATGGTCGATTTTTATCCTAAAATTTTATTCATATTATAAGCCACGTTCTTATTTGCAACGATTGTATAATATAAAATATTAATGCACGTACCATGCTAGAAAAACGTTTCGTCAGTTGATTTTCAAACTCAATGGTCAATTGTAAATTTTTAAGTAAGGTCTTTACATCCAACTCGTTAGTCTTTCCAAGTGTTTTTACTAAATCTTCCCTAATAAAAGAAGGACGTTTCAAAATTAAAAAAAATCAAACCAAATAAATAATCAAATATATATCAAATATATATACGTGTAAATACAAGTATCAATACCTGACGATTTCACAAAATTGAATACTGAGAAATTCACTCAATCGCCAATAAGTAGGAAATATTGCAGCATGTCTCTCATCATAATTTTTAAGGACTCTTTTCAGCCACGAATATTTTCTAGATGTATTTTCCAAAGATGCAATCTATTACATATAAAATATTCAATTACGAGTATAAAATATTCTAAAAATAGTCTTATACTATATTTTTAAAACCTCTTCATTTCCTCGAAATATTTTCTTGTAATCGTTTAGTTGCTTCTCGCAATACCATTTCATTAGCTGTGATCTAGTGTGTTACAATTACAATAATTAATATTAATAATTATTCCATTAACGCTTTGAATAATGATTACTTTATAACATCACTAATAATTAATATTTTTCTACCTGACATCTAAACCCATTATGTCAATTACTAAGCAGGCATTAGCCAGAAGTGTCGTCTGACTGATGAAACCTCCATCAGTAGAAAAACTAAATAAAATTTTATGATATTAGAATAACAATTATAAAAAAAAATTATAAAAAAAAATTATTTAACAATTAATATATTTCATTTATCGTACCTAGACTCAAAATCTTCAAAAATTTGCCTCTTTAGATCATTCTGGAACGTATTTACTGAAGATGATAACTCCGCTATTCGTTTAATACTTTTATAACTTTTAAAATATGAACTAAGCTGTAGAACCGCCTATTAATTAGAGAACATATAATAATTAATTACATTATTAACTAACAATCTTTTTTTTTTAAAAAAAAAAATACACTGTATATACATTACTTGTAAAAGTTGTGATGTCTCTTTATATTGTTTCATCTGTGCCATGACTTTTAATTGATCTAAAGCAGCGACTTTTAAATAGTACAGAATTAAAATATACCTATTTTTAAAAAAATAATCTCATAGCCAAAGTGAATACACTGTAAAAATTTTATTTACCAAGCATTTGCAGTCTTTTCAAAGAAGTAATCGAAATAGTCAAATGCTTCTTAGCATAATCCAGTGATTTGATATCTTTGGTTATTTCTTGCACCATTGTTTCGGATTGTGATGCTTTCTCTTTGATTTGTCTTATTCTATCAAAAAGTTCCTACATAAAAAACAACGAAATATTTAAGATTGACATAATTTAACTTGAATTAACTAATTTGAATATTAAAACTGACCTCTATCGCTTTCTTAGCCTCTGCAACCTCTTCTGGCCCTCGTTGACCAGCATCAGTTTGTATTCTAGAAAGTTCTTTTATCTCTCCACTCAATTGTCGCATTTTTGTTTGAAGCTTTTTGGCTGTCACATCGACAGAAGCTAATGCTTGTTCTATTTCATATTAAATATAAACACAGCATTTAATTTCCATTTAATTTCCTCTTGCTTCATCTTAACAAAATCAAAAATACAAATTACCATTCGGAAGCATTTGATTAAGACATTCTATTGGATTAAAGTCATTACTATCTAAAGGATCGTTAATTTGAAGTATTTGAGAAATTGATGCCTCTAATTCGGGCGGAAATTTAATAATATTATTAAAGTCTTCTTGAAACTCTTCATTTTCTTCATTTTCTATATTTTCTATGGTATCCGTAGAAGATTTCATTATCTAAAAGAAAAAAAAAAATTTTTTTTTGGTAAAAAATCTAATGCTAATTTATATTTATTAGCTACTACAGGTAAAGTTTCAAGTTCACGCACATACCGACGTACATACGTGTACATATATTTATTGATCTGCATCATACTGCCATATTTTTGTATTTTGCGTAACACAAACACCTTGTATTATTATATAATAAACAGATCCTCGTTAAACATAAATATGACATAAGCAAATTGTCAACGATTTTTATACCTTTACTCTCCTTTTTTTTCACTAAAAAATAGAAAAAAAAAAATGTCAACTTCATTATTTTTACCACAGGAAACTATTGACGAAATTCTTTCTCACGTTAAACATGATAAACATTCTTTATATTCATGTTTACTCGTAAATCGATATTGGTGTAGACAAGTAATTCCATGGCTTTGGGGTCATCCCCTAAAAATTCTATCGGCTCTTGAATCTGCCAACATTGCACCCCTTATCAGAACTTACATTTCTTGTCTTTCGGAAAAGGAGAGATCTTTTTTAATTGAACATGGAATAAGTTTGCCAAATTATCCTCCACCTTTCTTTCATTACGCTTCATATCTAAAAGACCTTGATTATCGTAGATTAGAAATTTCTGTACGTCATTGGATCAAATATGAAGGAACTATTTGTAGTAGTTATCCGACAAGACGTAGAGCTATTGCTGGAATTTCTTTGAATAATGCATCTATAATAGTAATGACTGCTCTCTGTAGATTATTTTTAGAAGGTGATCCAACTCTTCATCAACTTAAATTAGCTTATACTGAACGTATTTTAGATTTGCCCGATGTTTCAATATTTGTTCAAGGTCAAAAAGGGTTATCTTGTTTACAAAAAATTAAATTCATTGTTGGTTCATTTAATCGGACAAAACTTAAAAATATGATTGCATTCTTGGAAGCTCTACCCGACATTGCACCCAACGTCTCTCATTTAGATATAGATGTCATCACTACCGACAAGACTATGGCTGATACTTTGGTCTCTATAATTGAAGGCCTTTCTTATCTTTCAGAATTTAGATTGTGTGATAAAAGTAGTGGTGTCACTCAAGTTATAGAACCGACTATTTCTGCATTAAGTAGTCGTGCAAACTCTTTAACTTCCTTGGAACTTCATAATATTCATTTTCAAGATTTATCTTTACAAGGCCTAGCAGAATGTAAAAAACTTGAAGTACTTCTTATAATTCAATGTTGTTGTTTAACATTAAGCACTTGGAAACCATTAGAAAATGCAAAATTTCCACTAAAGACATTGTATTTGGATAGTGATTTTGGTGAAAAGGTCACAATCGCAATTCTGCAATCTGCAAGCAATCGATCAATTAAGCAATTACATCTTAGTTGTGCAACTAGCAAAGTAATAGAAATATTGCCGGTTGCATGTCCTTCTCTCGCTCATCTCGATGTTTGTGTAAGCAATGTTAGCATCGAACAATTGGTTGCTATGGTATCCGGTATTCAACAATTACAATATCTCGCAATTATGGAATATGGTGGGCATAATCCAAAACTTGTTGAAGTCACTCCGGATTTGGGAAAAATTTTTACACCTTTATTACATTACTTGGAATTAAATTTCATAATGACCTTTGAACAACTAGATGCTTTATTAACTCATTGTAAAGCTCCTTTAGAAACTTTGATATTAAATCAATATTTTGAAAATCATCAAATGGCTGATGAATATTTTGCCGCTATTGCAAAATTTGCAAAAGAACGAGGGACACTTAAACGACTTTGTGTTAATAATGATGGGATTAAAACGATTAACTGTAATCAAAAATCTGTTATCATTCAAGATCTATTAAGATATGTAAAAATTTTATCTTATAGTGATGCGAGTGTTAAGATTTGTGAACAAACTTAGATTCACAATTATGTAATCGTATGAAAAAAAAATATTTTCTTCTTTATATTGTATTCTCAATATTTTTGGCATTTTTCGACTTAAAATTTTGAAACTTCATACATGTTATAAAAAAATTTTGGTTATTTAGTTTTTTCTTATTTCAATTATTAAAACAAAGAAAAAAAAATAGAGCATTTTAAATATTAGATGTATTTTATAAAAAAAAATTTTTTCTGAAATTAAAAATTATCCGTATGTTTCGAACATTCGTTCTAATATTTTTACCTAAATATTGATATAGTATATATATATATACTATATATTACGTTAACAAAACTTATAATATTTTAAATTTATATAAATAAAGTTTGAAAAACTTCATAATTTTACAACTTTTAGACTAAATTTACTTGCCGTTAGGATATTTGAAAAATCTTGACACGGTTTAGATTCGGAACCGGCTTATTTTTCACGTTAAACCGATTAAACCCGATTTAGTAAGAAGGTCCGAACTCTACACGTGCATAGCATTTGTACTACTGTAGTAATCCTGTATTACGTATGATGTGCGTAATTATTAAATGCGGTTTTTTAAATATCTATATTAATATCTATTATATGTATAAAATTTCTTTTTAATAATATAAATTCTTAGCTGCATGGTAGACCATGTCTATTATAGGTTTTAAAATTAGTGAAATGTACCAGACCCGGATAATTGGATAATTGGTAAACTTATACAGTATTTTAAAAATGGCAATTTCTATTTGTACACAATATATTGTATAAAACACGAGTACATAAATCAAAACTTTACTTATAAAACCACCCTTTGGGCTCCAACAAAAAATATTCCTTGCAAAAAATTTAACATAAAGTATTTTTTATTATTTTGTTAGTATTATTATACCACAACGGCTAATTCCTAAACCTACAGTATAAATTCGAAAGAGTCATAAATATTATTCTTAAAAAAAAAACATTAAATCAGGGACATCTACAAGATCCATCGACTTGTGACACCGTATCCATCTGTGATAGCTTTTCGTAGATTTCTCGATTTAACAATTTGTGGTTCACATTTATCCGCTTCTTCAAATTGTCTTACAATAATTTATTATTAGAATGCCAATCAGTTAATTTCCACCGTTTTAGGTCGTTTTTTAGATCTACATCCATATATTGCTTAGCCAATTCAACATAACATTCGGGCACGTTAGTATCGAACTTAGGTCTTAAACCGTTACATATGTCTAAAGAAAGATTGAAATCAAATAGTCTTCCGTTGTAAGGTCTCTGCCCAGTCGCTATTTCCATAAATATCAGAAGCTTGAGTGATATTCCTTGCAAGACTTCGGGTGCTACGTACGGAAGTACACCATAAACACCTTGAGAATTATCATCAGTCATTCTAAATAATCCCAAGTCTGTAATGTAATTATATTTATCACTTGTTTGTAAAATATTTCCACTATGAAGATCTGCATGAATCAATCTTGTTCTATGAATTTTTTCTAATGAGTTGAAAATGCTCCAAAGAATCGATAATTTTGTATTCCAATTTAATTTTGCCAATTATTGATTAAATAATTAGCGAAATCTTCATATTCAAAAATTATCATATATTTGTTTAGTTAATCCATATACATAACGAGTTAAATTTACTGAAGATTTAGCGTATTGTTTATAATTTTCAAATTCTTTTAATTCAATATTTTCAAAACAACAACACTATTTGATTTACATGTACGATAATCTTCCTTAGTAATGCCAAATGATCTTGATCTTATTCCATCTAACCATATCGCTTGTATACAATACCGAACCTACCTTGACCTATCTTTTCGAAATCTGTTAATCTATGGAAAGGAATTCATTCTATTATATCTTTTAGTCGTCAGCAATAAGCTGATTTTTTTTCATTAAATCATCAATATCTTAAGTCTGGATCACACATTATACACCATCCAAATTTGGTATTTTTTTTTATTGCAGTTTAAACATTCTTCTTCGTATGTATTATTGTGTTCAATAAACATAATATTAAAATTAGCTTTTTCTGACAACAAATTGTATTTATTTCTATCTTTTTCTACACTATATCCAAGGGTATAACATATGACGGTTTTTATCGTTTCCAGTCTCAGCAGATTTTAAAAAATATTCAAAAGCTTTAAGTTGACGTAAATATCCTTCTCCTCCATCATTTTTATCTGCAGCGTGCTTGTAGTACTCGAACGCTTTTCCCAAATCCTTCTCAACGTCAATACCAAATTGATATTTCCAACAAAGCACGACAATTCATTTTTCATTAAACAAAAACAACACAGGTTGAATGATGGCAAATCGGGTACAAATCTGGTGTCTGATTTAAGCTGATTACTAACAGATTATTGTTGCAATCGTTAGTAATCTGTTAATAAACAGTTTAAAATCAGACACCGGATTTGTACCCGATTTGCCATCAAAATAAATTTGGTTATTTTATACTTCTATCGCTATGGGATTTCTTATTTGGGCCGTAATACAATCCAAAAAATAGAAAATTATAAATAAAAGTTGCAAATCTTCAGGTTTTACTTATTTTACCGAGTAATAAAAAGCCAAAAAGGATTAAGCAACCTAGATCGTCATGCTTGGGCCCAAATTCAATATCTTTTACATTTTTATTGAATGAATGGACACAGAATGTTACTGGTGAATTTATGTGGGTAAAAATGTTATGTTGAATTTTTTAAATTCAGAATTACTGTAAAAATACAAAGTTACCGATTATGGGAGCTTTAAACAAATCTTTTCAAAATATATATATTTATTCTAAAAGAATTTGGAATCGAGTTTTTATTACCTTTATTTTTATTACCTATAACAAAAGAATCGCATAAATTATTTGAAAATCAAATAGTTGATTATATTAAAAGTATATTGTAATTGATGAATATAACAATATTAATATTTCAACAAATTTTTATATAATGATCTTATAACAACAACTTCTTCTGGTTTGGATATAATTAAATTAACTATAATGTATATTTATGGCATTTATTTGAAAATAATATTAAATTGTGAACACTTATTTTGGTTAAAATTAAATCATTATTAAAAGATGATTTGGATTTTAATTATGAAAAAATATCTATAAAATTTTTGATTCATTTATATATGGTGCTCCAAGCTACTTCTAATCAAAAAGGCGCCAAAATAGCATGGGGGACTTTCTCATTTTTCGGAAATACACGGTTTATCATAGCCAATCAAAAACTGTCATCACATAAACACATGGCCCACTTTTAGACATTCGTCGAACAAGACGGCTAATAGTAAGCGTAATACGTATATCTGTATATTATAATCTCTTATATAATTTAATTTCAAAATATCGCATTGTAGAAGAATCATATTACTTTTTAAGCTACAATAACAGCTTTTATAGTTGTATAAATTTTATTTAAAAATTTTTTAATAACAAGTTACGTAACGGCTAGTAAAACTATACTATTACAGTCAGGGAATATTCCAAAAATGGACATTGAAGATCACACCTTTTATAGTATAAGGATATTGATCCGAAAATTCTAGATTTTATGGCACATGAGCATTAACCAATCAAATTAATCCAACATTTTATATACAAATGAATTATTAACGAAGCTACATATAAGCAAGGCTTCATTTTTATTAAAGACTCTATATAATAATTTTATTCTACTTAATTATGACTGCCTTTACTAATTTATATTGCAATATTTAGTTTGTAGTATTAAACAATACCACACATACAATATGTTTATTTAGTATTATTTAACAATACCACCTATACAACAATTTACAATCTAAATCTATTTAAAATATC